GCTGCAGTTCTCCATCCCATAGGGTCTTACAAGGGTCCCGGTACCCGGGGCACCTCCCGATGCCCGGGCACATCCCCGGTACCCAGGGCACACCCCTGATACCCGGGGCACACCCCTGATACCCGGGCACCTCCCCATTCCCTGGGCACACCCCTGGTACCTGGGGCTCATCCCCAACGTCCGGGCACCTCCCCGATGCCTGGGCTCATCCCCGATATCCAGGCACACCCCCCGTACCCAGGCACACCCCCGTACCCAGGCACATCCCTCCATACCCACCCTTTAGCCCCACATCCTGCAGCAAGTTCTACTGCTTTCAGTACCTACAGGTGCCCCAAATCCCTCTCTTCGTGGGGCTGCCACCTTGGCCAGGGTGACCCCCAGGGACCCTGCCCAGGCCATGGGTCACGGGATGCCGTACCCTCCCCCTGCCCCTGTCCTTGCCCGCCGACCCGCAGACACTCACTTTTTGCGTGGCCCAAGGGTGCGGGTCCCGGTCATGCACACCAGGCACAGCCCTGTCACCATGGCAGAAGCTCAACCTTGCCACCATGGCACCTTTCACCCAGGCCCCATCACGGTGTCCCCCACAAAGGTGTCCCTGCACCCCCACAACGGGGCCAGGACAGACCACCCACAACCACAGCCCTCCCCTCCCCGCAGCGATGCTCTTGGCACCAGCGAGCCCTCTCCCCTCCCTCCCACCGCTCACTCTTGCCTGGGAAGATGAAGATGAAGAAGGCGCTGATGCCCCCGATGAGCTCGATGACCTTGCCGATGTCGGGGACAAAGAGGGCGATGGCGAGCGTGGTGGCCATCCAGGCCACCGTCAGCGCCACCCGGCTCCGCCGCTCATGCACCTCGGGCACCGTTGTGGTCCCACGCTTGGGGGTCTCCCACATGTCCCGCACCACCGACCTGGGAGGGAGATTGGAGGGGGCTGGTGGCACCCAGCAGAGCTGCAGTGGCCAAGGAGGGGGGACACATGGCTCGCCACCGCCCCCTCACCTGCCCAGCAGCACCACGATGGGGTAGATGGTGACGATGGAGATGCCAAAGAGCAAGCGGGGGGCGATG